AATGATGAGCAAAACTGGAATGAACATGCCTGCTTGGATGGCACAGTGTGTTGGGATTTGTGCACCATTTCATGGCATGGTAGGACAAGGGGGAGTTGTGCAAAGGCTGGTGGGGATCTCCCCTGGAGACCACCCTGAGGAGGAGAACACCCACCTATAGGCGTGGCTGCTGGAAGGAGGGCTCAGTTTGATCTCTCCTGGGCAGGCCATCAGCTCTGTTGCTCTTCTCCCCAACAGGGACTTTGCCACCTCATCGAATTCCTTATTAGACAGCCAGGGTAGCAGGTCTGCCTGAGTTAACTCCAGGGGAGACTTCAGAGAATTGGGAGTTGAGGCTGTGAGCTCATGAAGGCAGCTTACTATACATTTACCATGGTATCCCAGCTCCTCGCACTGAGCCTGAGGCACAGGAGGTCCTCCACCAATATTGCCCTTGGGTGACCCCACTGTGGGCTGCTGAGCCGAAGTGCAAGACATAGTAAATATGTCAGGGGAGCAGGTGAGAGCAGAATGTCATTCCTCGGGAACTGGCGCAACCAGGAAGCACCGCCAGCAAAGAATGCAGAAAGTGTCTGGTGAACTGACCTTTGGTTAGTGAACTGGTCTATGGGAGCCCAAGAACAGCAAAGAGTGTGTGAATTTCTGTGCCCTTCCTGTTGTTCTGTGAAGCTCTCAAGTTCAATTTTGGAAGTTTCAGGGGCCATAACCATTCCTCAGAAAGTATGGATTCCTATGGTCCGTTTATGGACACATGATGAGTTTGTGTCTCCTGCAGAGGTTGGGAGGTCTAGGATGGGGCTTCTGATAGGATTGGACGGCTGGACTCAGATTCATTTCTAGGTCAGGAACCTGGGCTAGTGGCAGGGGAAGGGGTCTTGCACAGAGTTACCTGAGTTCCAATCTAGTAAGCTGGGGACTTGCCATCACAGACTGAGTACCCGTGCCATCCCATCTCATCCCATTCCAACTTGCTCACCTGATCCTGTGGCTGGCACCTTCCTAAGCAGCAGGGAATATGTGAGTCTGACGATCAAGCATTGCATATTTACTGAGTCCCGACTATGAATAGCCATGGAGCTAGCTCTGCTGACCAGGCACTCCTGGCTTCTGCCCTCGAGGAACTTTTCATGCCGTGTCTTGGGGGCTCCATTTCACTAATTCCAAACTAAAGTCAAGAAATATTAATATTTAAAGATGACATTCATTGAATTCAATACTTTTTTCCTGAGTGCCTGCTCAGAAAAACATTACAAAGGAAGACATTTTTAATGTCTTTCAAAATCCCCAGAAGAGTGGGAAAAACATGGAGGACAAACAGAAAAATTTGAGGACAAACAGAATCGTGGGTTCAAATCTTGCCTGGATCCCCATATTTGTTTGACCTTCTCTGAGCCTCAACTTCCTCACCCTTAAGATGGGCATGACAATAATTCCTACCTCCTGGGCTGTTTGGGAGGAAGAAATGAGAACAAATATATAAGGCCCTCAGCATAGTGCCTGGCACTTGGGTGCTGGTCATTTTCGTCATGACATTCCTACTGACTGTTTACAAATCCACCACTGTACCAGGCAGTGCTGAGGATGTCTGTGATGACCCTGGAAGAAACAGGGATCCTCTGCATCCTGGTTAATCTTGTTCTGCTGGAGTTTTGCACCTTGAATGTGTAGGAGTGTCCACGAATGTCCCTGAAGTAAACAGCAGCTGCTTTGCCTGCCATGGGCCTGCCCATTCGGTGACTTCATGCTGGCTCCCATCACCTCCCTCCCAGGTGCCTATGACAGCCTCCTCACTGGCCTCCCTGACTCCAGGCTACTCCTCTGCAACGCTGGTCCATGCATGTCATGTTGCAGCTTGTGACCTTTTGAAGATGCCATGTACAACACTCCCCTTCATGGCCCATATGGTGGCTCCCCACTGCTCTGGTCTCTGGGCCTCCATATCAGGGCACAGCCTGCTTACCTCCGAGGCCCCTGCCCTGCAAAGCTTGCACACTGTGGCAAATGAGTGCAGTTTCCCGGACAGGGCAAGTGTCCTACCACCTCATTGTGTTTGCATGGGCCATTCCCTCTTCGTGGGGCACCTGTCTCCTTTTTTACCTGGTTCCTAAAGACTTCATGGATTCAGGATATGTACCCCAGTGCCACCTCCCCAGCTGGGTTAGGCGTCCCCTCTCTGCCTGTAGCCCTAAGCACAGTGTGGTCATTGTCTCTTTTTACATTGTCCTAGACTCTGCGCTCCATGCTTTGTGGTTAAGTCATAGGTTCTGGAGTCAGAGAGACCTGAACCCAATCCTGACTAGCTAAGTGAGCCTGGGCAAGTCATTTAAGCTCTCTGTGCCCTCATGTGCAACAGTGAAGGATGACAGCACCTGTCATAGGGTTGCTGTGAGAAGAGAATGATATGTGTGTGCAAAATTCTTAACACATACGAAGTCTCAGGCCACTGTGGCTATTACAATAATTGCTATTAATACCCCAGTGCCTGTTCTGCAAGAGGCATACAGCAGGTCAATAAAGGTTTGAACAAATTACTTAACCCCACCCCTTAATGGATTGGCAGTTCCTTGGCCACAATCATCCCCCATACCCACATCCGTATCAAGAGGTGGGGTCTTGAGCTTACCCACTTCTTGCTTGATGGTTTTCTCAAGGCTGCTGAAGTTCAGAACTTGAAGAAAATGACAGCAAATTGTGGGGAGTCAACAATTTTCTAATTTTCTTACCGAACTGTGGCTCCCCCAGGGCACAGAGAACAGCTTTGCCCATCTCCTGGGCAGGCTAGACATGAGTCTTCTTTGGTGAAGGAGACAGGCTGGGACCTACTTTCCACTGCCTGCCCCCAGATCAGGGAAGAAGGTCCTCCCAGGCTGTCTGCTCTTGGGACAGAGGTGGTATGAATAATCCGCACTGCACGGATGCAGTGGACAGTCTGCAGCACGCAGTATGCGATTCCACATGGCCTGCACACATTCACATGTTCACTACGGAGACATCTTCACTTCTCAAAAAGGCAAAAACCTGGGGGTTTTAACCATATTAACTGCAGGAGCATATGGAGGTGAGCCACCCTGGCTGAGGAGCTGAGCGAGCACTAGCTGGGTGGCCTTAGGTGCGGAAAGAGAATGTTTTTGCTTCCAACCTGGAGTTTGTGACACTGTGGTTCATTCCACAAAGGCTTTTCGAATATGACCAGGGCTGGTGCTGGGCCTGGTGACGCAGAGATGAATGACCACGTTCTAGTCTGAGGGGAAAGGTGAAAAGAGCGGGAGTAGTTAGGGGTGTGGGCAGAGGAGGTGGTGGCTGGGTAATTGTGGGGAGCTTTGTTATCTAGTGTCCTAGAAGGGGCTCTGTCTCCAATGGCAGAAGAATGCAAGGGGCTGGGGATCCCGTCCCCTCTCCCCAGCAGGTTTAAGGACCTCAAGGCCCAGCCCAGGAGACAGGAGTCAGAGCAGAAGAGGCCTGCAGAGTCCACAGCCTGAGGCAGGGCAGTGCGGGCTCATTCTCTGGATAACTGAGGGGACATTCTCAATTCGAGGAAACATCTCTGTCCTATGGTCCCATCTGGCCAGCCTAGTGGGCAGCCTGGGCCATGGGGGGATGTCAGTGGTCAAACAGGCCAGTTCCCAGCCCTCCAGCCCCGGCCCCTGCCCAGCCCCCAGCGCGGTCCCCGGCCCTCGGGCTGCCACCTGGCCGCACCTCGCCCGTCGTGGTGACTCGTTTCCCCTTCCGAGTCCAGCCCGGGGTGGCGGGGTTGTGGCGAGGATGGGGTGCGGGGCCCCGATCGCTACGGCCCCGCGGGCCGCGGGGCTCTGCACCCTCCTGGGCACCGGCGGAGGCGCGGCTGGCGTGACGTCAAGCGCCCCGCCCCCGCGGCCCCCGCCCACTCCTCACATTCCGGGCGGGGCTCGCGTGCCCCAGCCCCCTCCCCAGGGGCCGC